ATTGCCAAAGATACCTACTTCTCACTGGGGACTAAGCCATGACAGAGATTTATATCACACTCATTTTCATGCAGAGGATGGCATTTGCATATGAGTTATAGCCTTGTCACACAGGAGCAAGAAAGTCAGCAACTAGCTAAATCCTCACTTGTGGGAGATGTTTTGCTGGCCTGTGGCACCTTATCAGCAGGCAGAAAAGGGGTGCTATGATAACGAAAAGATCTCATTCTTCCTCTGTCTTGATAAAGCTGTGCAAGAAAAACAATGTAGCACTGCTGCTCTAAATCCTCACCCCAGTGCTGATATTTTCCTTTTCAACAGGGCTGCTGTAGAAGCCTCCAGAGAGAAAATTCTCCCTCCACACTCCTGAAGGTATCATTTTTAAAGAAACCCTATAAACAACTTATAGGAAGAAGGTAGGATTACTACTCATGGCACACTTTCCTAAAAAATACTTACCATCTTATTCTTGCCTTGCTCCCCCAGCGCAACAACAGCCATTGTCTATTAAAAAATGTAAAGAGATCTTTGTGGAACCTAGGCTTTCATAACCTAGGAATATCCCTTTCAAAACTAGGACAAAGGTATCTGAGGTACAGGACTCGGGAGAAAACAGCTACAAATGATCAGTGATTGTCATGATTTATGTGCGGGTTGCTTGGATTTTGGATAGGGGTCTGACCAACACAGTGGGTCAGATGATGCCATCCTTATTCATATGGGTAAGGTTGTTATGAACAGACCAGCTGGATTGCCAGACTAGCACTTAAGCAGAAGCAAATATGGCATAGGATTTCCTGGGGATTAATGACTGGCTGAGAGTTGATGATAACCTGAAACACAGGCAGTCATTAATCTTAATCCTCGGGAAATGATCTCTATCAAGGTCATTATTTCTGTAATAAAATAAATGCAAACAAAAACCTAATGTCACATAGATATTTATATTTTTAATGAATGATGATGCAGCAACTGTAATGTAAAGTTCATGTCCCATTAACAAGCAACCTACACATTCACCTGTTAGAGTGGCTGAACTTTTATCTTCTTAGAAGCTTTATGCTGAGACCAAGATATTGAAGGGGAGAAGCCTTCCTTGTCTAGACTATTAAATCCACAGCATGACTGCACACCTGCCTGAATACAAAGAGCCAAATATCCAGCAGCTCCCAATGATCTCAGATATCATTCATCTGTCAGGGGTGGGCTGAACACCTTGCAATCCTACTGATTCTGGAGAGCTTACAAGTTGGCTTTAACAAGACAGACACAAGCCATCCAAAACCACATTTATGTGAAAAGGGAAAAGGATGGGCAGGTTTGCAAGTGTGTAATATACTATTACAATAGTATATTGGGACTGCTCTGTTTATCCACATTTTGTGGAAAGTAAATCCTACTCTCTCATTTCATGTTATCCTACTTGCAATCAAGTGCATTTTTAAGATGCTTTCAATTGCGGCAGAAGTTGGTTCTGACTTGACAAATGAATTATTCAGAAGTAAATTTGATGAGCTGGTTTTCTATAAATACACTGAATGTTAATGCAGTAATAATGGTGTGTAGGTCAAGCTGATCTTTTATAGTCACATGGCCTGTTTATACACCCTATATTGCTTTTGCTACCAAGAGGATGCAGATGGGACTTCTCTGTCACCCTTGCAAAATCTGCACAACTCCAAATGACAGAGCAGTGTGTCTTCTGATGCCCCCATTTCCCTTCTGATGCCCCCATTTCCCCTGCAATTATTCAAGGGAATGTAACAGTGATATTAATGACTTAAAGAGAAAGAAAAGCTGGATCTCTCAGCAGAAATTAGAAATGTAACTTCTAAAGGCAATATTTGATCTAGAAGCCCTCAAGAACCAAGAACAGAGCTTCCAGACTTAACCCATGCTTTTCCAGCCACTGAAAACACAGTTCACTTGGCTGTGACAGCTGCAGTGCTGCTGGTGCCTGATGGGGAAGTGATCTGACTAAAGGACCCAGCAGTCCAGAAACTGAAAGAAGGTGGGTGCAGGTGGGTGAGATCCAGTATGAGGAAGGCAAAGAAGTAAATGCTGAGAAATGGGGAAAAAGGAAATGCGACACAGAGGAGGATGACGGCGTCAGGAGTACGCCCAAGTGCAGGGGGTGCCAGGGTCCCCATGTGTGTCTTAACTAACTTTGATAGACACCCTTCAAACTCTTTTTCTGTGAGACCAGCACTTTTAAATGCTTTCATAAACTGTTCTTTTTCTGCAAATCCAAAAAATTCAGCAAATGATGCAATTTTTTTGACCTATTGATCTAAGTCATCATCTGGCAGAAATACTGAAGAAATTTAAGCTGACTAAAGAAAGACTGAAAAATTTTTATTACATCTTTCTGCTATTCCTTTGAGTCTGACCCATACTTGCATCAAATGATTTGGAAAAAGCCCTTTAGCCTCACAGGTCATGCAGCAGGTCCATCGTCATTCATTACATGAGTGCAGCAGAGCTAATTTTCTTTGCCGACACAAAACTCAAAAATGTTGAGTTTTTTTGGCAGAGGAAAGGACATGTAAATTGCAGAGAGCAACATGGGCCAGAGAAGACATCAGGTAATCCTTTACATTTCTACATCTCCCCAAACAATGGGTTTATACAGCAAAGGACTGCAGTTCTCAGACACTTTTAATAAATACTATTCCTTTCAATTTGTAATAATTAAATGCTATCAGCTTAAAGAATCAGCTGGCAAAAGACTCTTAAAAACAAAGATGATGCACAAATTTGGTTCTCCAAGGTCATTATACACAGATTAAGAAATGAAAACGTGGGGAGAACCTGGTAGGTAAAATTCATACAGATCCAAGTAGGTAATTAATACTGTATACGATAGGTACCCACATCCATTGTAACACATACTTTTTAAGTGAATGCAAGATTAAAATACAATGACATCCAAATTTATTAACTAGTATTACCTTGCTCGACCCGACACAGTATTTATATCAAATAAAGAAACCTTTTGTTTCACAGAAGTTTGCAGAGTAAGCTGAATACAGAATAATTAATATGAACACTTAAAAGCTTAAAATCTCAGAAAACAACATGAGTGTGTTCAGTGGAGACATCCAATACTGCTCATGTTTGCCCTCCAAACTGCCTACAGTGCAAAAGATCTTGAAACCCAAGACTCTACAAATGAGGTGGTGCCTCAGAAAAGGTTAATAATGTGCTACAGAAACATGGATGCATTTTTCTCAGATTTTTCCTGCAGTTGTAAGTCTGTTTATAAAAAGCTAAAACCAGAGTTCCATGTCCAAAAACAAATTAGTGAATGAATTGCACTTTCATGCTCTCATGAACTAAAACTTGAATTCTGTAGTCAGCAAAAGCTTGAAATGCTGTCTTCTTTATATATACCAACTTAAATATCTGCACATACACAGGCTATTTTCCACCAGTTTTTTGGCCACTTCTTCATGAAAGTTTTGCACTAAAATACAGTAATTACTGTAAATGTAGGTAGATTCTTTTCCCCCTTTGTAAATTTAACCCAATGTATTAGTTTTAATGAAATGTCCAGATGATGAAATGGCTACTGCCTTGCACTTACTTGAAAGCCATGACATTATTTCTATTCCCATTTTTTTTAAAGAGTATTACTCCCAGGACAAATATAAGACTTTGGAAAGAAAAAAATCTGAGAACAGTGAAGTATTATGTGTGAAGAAACCCTGAAGAAAATGTTACTGGATTAATTTAAGTAAGATTTATGCATTGTAAACGCCTGTATCAATCCACATTGATCTCCATCATTTTACTGATATAATGAAAACCAGGATTGAGTTACCTGACAAACTTAATTATAAGTAATACCTAATTTTCAGATATGTAGTACTTTTGTCTCTCCCAAGATGAATTTCAGATTTCAAACTCCTTTTGTCCTTCACTGTTGTGAAGGGGGAAACCTCTGGATCACACTACACAGCGCAAGCTTACTACAGCAGAAAAGTAGACAGCTCTGAACACTGAACAAGCTATGTATGGGAAACAAGTGAAATAAGCTTGAACAATGGAAAAATACCTGAGAGATGATCTTATTCTCAATTTACATTAGGTTCAAATTGTGCTCCAGTGAACAATTCTAGCTTTCTTGTAGTCTAGTCTTCAATCTGTCATGTATGCTCAAGCAAAGTGCTATACGGTTTTTGGTCACTGAAGTTTGAAAGGTCTGTCAGTAATGTTTTAGGTCTCTTTAGTCCTTTCCTGTTCCTTCACAAGTGCTATTTCTCAAGACATCTATTACTGCAGCAAGAGAAGTCCCACAGACACACAGACATCAAATAACACATGGCCTTGAAGTTTTTGGTTCTTCTCTGAGAATCCGAGAGTCAGATCATCCCACAATTACAAAGCCCATATGGTATTCCTGCCAGCTTCTCCAATCAAAGAAGTGGTCTTCTTGCTAATTTGTCAAAGAAATAATAAATCCCACCAAGCTTGGATAAAGCAAGTAAACCATTTACATACAGGTAACACAGAGGTATGTTGGCCGCATTTTTATTAATGTCAGCATTAGACAACCTGAAGTCAAATCAACAGAATCTCATTCTTTCCTACAGTGCACATGACAAATTATCCACCATTTTGACTTTTTTAAAAAATAAGATCAAAATCAGGGAGGAAAACAAAAGAAAATCTTTATGAAAGTACAGGACTATACAGTTTGTGTAACTTTTACATTGTTGCTGAAGCCAGAAGAGAAGAGAATCAGTAGTTATGCATCAACCAAACGACCAGTTTTAGTTTCACTGCAATGAACATGTTTCCTAAGTTGAAAGTGTTGGTGGGAGTATGTATATCACACCATAAAAGTGCAGAACTCTCAGAAAATCCAGACACATTCAGAAAAGATTGATGAAAGCAGGAGAAATGCAAAAAATAGTTTCATGGTGAGAAAGGAAAAATAAAGCATTTGTTTGCTTTTGCATCAGGAAAGCAAAAACAATAAAAATTAATAGGCATACCTTCAGCAAGTGGGTCAAGAGTGTGAATCATGAGCTGGAAGATGCTGTTCCTCATTAGGCTGTTGTGGAGAGATGCAGAGCTTCCTCCTCGCTGGAGACGTGGCTTGGTCTAGGGTAAAAAATATTGTGAAGAATTTAGGGGGTTTTGTTTTTTGTGTGGAAAGATGTCTGAAACATTATGAATTAATCTCACACCTCACTGCACAGTGAAACATTTTGAACTATCGCCTATAGCAGATTACGTTAAGCCACAGGCTTTATCACCCACTGTCATAAATATAGGCAATTTCTCTGGAGGGGATGGATTGTCAGAACAGCCATTAGTCTCACACGGACTCAGGAAAAAAACAGGGCAAAAAGTGCCTGTCTTTGTGAAAACTCATAAAGCCCTAAGAAAATGAAAACCTCATACTTGCATCAGGAAGAACTAATAATGTGTTTCTTTGCAGAACCTTTTGTTTGAATCACTGAAGTCAGTACTAATTTTTATTACGTCGGTACACTGCAAATATGCATGTATGATCAAAACTATGGAGAGTAAGGGCAGACAGTACTCTTTTTTAATGGCACTCAATCAGAAACATGCTCCTCACTTTGGCTCAATCCACTGAAGTCTCATGGCAAAAAGAGATTGGAAGTGTGGTTAGGCAGTGCAGACATCTACAGCAATGAAACTAATGTACAAGTCTGTTTTGCATGCTTGTAATGAAATATAAAACATACTCTGAGATTCTGTTCCCCATGCAATTGTCTAGTACAATAATCGATGCACTGCATTTATCTCATAGAGTAAAACTGTTTTGTGGCTGTTTGTTTCAATAAAAAGGATAGTGAGAGCCAACAGACTACTGACTAGAACAGAAATACAATTAGAGGGAAAAAAAAATAACTCTGAAGAAAACAGTATTTGGCAATAATACACGGATTAATCTTTGGTGTCATACACATACAAAATGATAAATTATAGAAACCAATAAAGAAGATTAATTCACTGCTTTATGTTTGGAAATACATTATTTAAATTCTATAGCAGTATAGGAGGAGAAAGAAATCCCAACAATTAAAAAAAACATTGATGCATGTCAAAGTTAGGTAAAGCTTGCCTCGCCACCCCCCTGAGAAACAAATGCTCAGATGCGTAATTGCTGCCTACCGTCAATGTTTGGTCATCCTTGTCTCCAGCATTAGGTGACTGCATGAATGGGAAAAAGAACAAAAAGAAGTGTCAGATGGAGCACATAGGGAATGGAAAGGCAGTAGAACATCACACATGTCTGATCCTATGAATTATGTTGTGACAGATTTTTGAACCACTCAAGGCATCCTACTGATCAAGTAAATCAGAGTAAATTCACACTGCAGTGTGCAAGCATCTTTTAATCTTGTCAGTTTCTTGGACAGGAAACTGTTGTCATTTCAGGGCCTGGCACAGCAGCTGGGCTGCAGATCACAATGTTCACTTTATACAAGTACCCTGTACAGCAACCAGTTTGAGAGAGTGAAGATAGAAGACTAAGGGCAACAAGAAACTCAGGATTGACCAAAATGAGCACGAAAGAGTGAGTTCCACAAAAAGCCTAAAAAGGAGTAACCTCGTTATTTTGCATGAAGAGACTAAGCAAAGAAATGAAAAAATATATTTCAGTTTAATCACTCCCTACAAATTACCATTTAGCTCAAACTGGCAGCTCTGATTAAGGGCAAGCAGCACGGCACACACTGCCCTGCCATGAAGGAAAATGAGACTCTGAATGGGTCTTAAATTATCTTCTCCATCTCAAGGATTCTTTTTTACTGCTGTGTAATACATTGAAAACAAATTACATCACAACAGTTCTATTGAACAATGTCTCCCATTCAGTTAAACCCAGTTTTTGGACACACATCAACACTAATTTTTTGGACATGCCTTTTGGGTTAATTAACCTTGAAGATTAAGTGGAAGCTATGAACAAACACTGATGACAGAGCAAATATCCTTTATGTTCCATAATAAATACAAGAATAATGAGAACCGAACTCTCTGTCAAAAATGTGCTGCTACAGCTCTGAACTATTAACTCAAAGAAAGATAATCAGACAACAAGAATGTCTTTGTTCCTTTATTAAAAGGAACTACCTGTCACCTCTAAAATAAATCTAAACTTGTGTGACAAAATAATAGGAAAAAAGTTTTATGCTGTATTGAAGAAAACTACCACAAAAAGAACGTCCAAAGGAATCAAATTAAAATGAAACAAAAAGAAAATATAAAATCTGTACTCTAAAAGGTCACTTTTAAAAATAGATGTGTCTTAGAAAATGTTGGCCTAAGGTGTACGTATATATGGTTATATATTATACATATTCATGCATCTTTCAGATATAAACCCATACAAATGAGCAAATCCACAATTTATATGTGGGTATTTTGAGGGACCTTCATGGAAAAAAAATCCATATTTGCAAGAAAGCAAAAAAGAGAAGCTGGGAAAGCTTTTATTGTCTCCAAAAAGAAGCAGTTTAGGGTAGTTGAGTCCTAAGGATCAGCAGCTATAGTTATAGAAGTCTTTGATAGGTGGATGAATGCACAGAACTGGTACTTGATTAGAAGTTTAAAAAAATATTACTTTTTCTTTATATCTTGATTTTCTGAAGATAGGAAATCTATTTTTTTTTATTTTTAATATTGAAAGATATGAGAATTGGTGAAACTGAGTAAATTGTACTCTCTACCTAACAAAGGTCAGAAGACTATCACTTTTCAAAACTTCATATTGAAGGAAACACTTCTCATTTACTTGAAAAATAATGAGATGAACCTAAAAGAATGCATAAAACCAGCTAGTTGATAATTTGCACCATATAATTTGATTAGTAAAAGATAATTATATAAAAAAAAGACAGAATAATGAAACACATTTTCTATATGCGTTAAGGAAGCTGAAGTGTGAAATAATTTAATTATTTGCCAATACAAATTGGGGCATACACCATGAAATGGATTTTTAAAATTATTTTTTCCACACATGATTAGCCATGCAATTGTTTCTGAGTTGAAATTGCCAGTTGAGTTATATTCTAGCAGAAGTATTCAGGACAATTTCAAAACCAGGAATGTAAACAATAGCTTGCATTCTGGTGACACTAAATACTTATATTTCCTGGATTTTATCCTGGAGTAAAAATAAAAAAAACCCCCACTTTTAAATAACATCTTAAACTATGGCAGTGAAAAAATTCAGTTGTGTTTCTGCTTACAGTATTGGATGGCATTTTGACTGCACCAGGATGGAAAAGTCAGAGTATTTTACTATTGTTCTCAGCTAGTTTTGAACATGGTCTTTGCTATTTAGTTTTGGTATCATATACTGCATGGGAAAGTATCTTAAAGTATCTGATTTCAATCACTCAGAAACATTGAGTATTCAGGTATTTTATGCTGTCTTATTCTGAGACAACACTTAAAAACTGGTCCACTTGGTGGTGCTTCTTTGCACTGGGAGTGAATACTGCACTTGTGGACACACTCTACCATGACATTTAAAAGAAAATACACGTTTTCTGTAAAGATAGGTTTGTTCTTAAATCATGGCAACTGTTGCATGTTAGTTCCCTTAGGATCAGAAAGAGATGAAGGTTCCATGTCTTATATAGTACAAATATTTCTGAAGGTTTTACTAGTGAAAATTATCTTTTGCAATTTTACACTTTAACTTCTTTAAACCATGAATTTATTATGATTCTGCAAAGTGAAAAAACCTGCATTCTAGCATACCTTCTTATTCAAAAGTATTTGGGCCACAATCCATTATCATGTTTTTAGCAGAATTATAAAATGACTAATCATTAGACAGATGACTAATTTTTTTAGAGAATTCATGTTAGTTCTCCCATGCTCCATGGCAGGTCATCAGAATTTGTCCATCCTCCTGCCACCATCAGTGATCATGCATTCAAACGTGCTTCAGATGAGCTAAAAGTCTTAAAAGACTGTTTCAGGAAGAATACATAAAAAATATCTACTTGCTATGGAGAAATGTTTTCTGGTACTCTTTTCACACATCTCTCCTCCTCAGTGACCTAAGTCCATCAGTGACTGAGCCTGACAAATTCCTTGCCTTATTTGGGAACATATGTTGTAGAAAACCAGGCTTCTGAGTAATTCATGCAGGAGGTGATGGCTCACTAAGTGCCTGGTGAGTCTAGCAGTGCTTTCCTTTGACATAAAGGGCATCATGACAGTCAAAGGAGGAGCAGAATCTGTAAAGAGCTCTAGGTATTTGACACAGAGCATCCCTGTTAGCAAAAGGTGGCTAGTAATTTGGATCATCTGTTAGAGTGTGTAGTCCACTACCAGAATCAGAGAGGTGACTGTCCACAGCTCAAGCAGTTGTTGCTGTAATTGAAGCTTCCGTGTTAAAGGTTCAGTAACCAGAAACAATCAGTGAGCTGGACTGCCCATTCTCTGAGAAACGCAAGCTGTCAAACAAAAGCAAGTAAAAATGCAATGGGATTTCAACACCCTTTCTGCAGAGTGGGTTCACATCTCTTTTCTGCCTGATAAATATTTTCCAAATATAACAATGAAAAGCTGTTAAAAATCAATCAATCAATCAATCAATCAATCAATCCCAGCTTTTCTGGGAATAATGGCATTTAGTGGTGTTTGTTGGTTGGCAGTGTGGTGCAAAATGCAATATGATGTCTCCAATTATTGTATTATATGAGCCCAGACAGGAATTTGCATAATTGTCATTTGCATAATGCTTTCTAGCACAGGACTTCTGCTGCTCTCTCTTACTCCTGCTTTAAAAAGTGGTATCTGGACACAGCAACTTTTCAGCTGGTGGTGAGTCACCACTTGTCAGTCCTCAAGTAAATTCCAGAAGATAAGTTTTCTTGGAGAATATTTCTAGGATTCTCTAATCTTGTACTTAAGGGTTCCTAGGGTTTTTTGTTAGACTGGACTGCAGAAAAATGAGATAGATTTCAAAGGCAGTCACTGAAGTCAATCTAGTTAACATAAGACTTTATTTCTAAAACCAGTATCCTAAGGAGTGCTAATAATGCAATTGGAATTGAACCGTTCTGCATTTCTTTGAAATTACATGGTGAGTCAAATTAAGACATAACTAAAATCCCAGCAACAAACACAGATAGGCATATTTCAGAAATAAGCCTAATAAGCTTAGTGAGGGAACCAAAAATGAAGGTAATACTTCATCTAGTTCTCTTAATACATAAATTATTGAATTTTACCAAATTAGAATCCCCTAGACCTCCTTTCTGTGACTACTCCAAAACAATCCACAATTCTAACCTTTACCTACTTGATGGTTGGCTGGAAAGATCAAATCCTAGTGGTCTCGATTATCTTAAACTAAAATTCTAGGTACCCATGGGAATAAAAGCTGGCCATCACCACCTGCAGTACCTCTGTCAGGTGCTCCAGTGGGGCCAGTACAACTTTGTAACTCATTACCCCATTCTCTAGACAATTTTTGTCAAAAGGTTGTAAGTAGCTGCAAGGAAATACCTCTTTATTTAAGCTATAGTAAACTGATGGTAAGGATTTTAAGTTGTCTATTACTGCTTAGACATCAGTATCTAAATCCATACTGTGAATTAACACTGCATACAGGACCTTAGATCTTATTTAAAACAGAGGAAGAAAAAGCTTTAGCAACCACATTGCTAAAATACACTAAAGTTCTCTTTCATTTTGCCTTCTTTCTTCTTTTCACCTTTCCCTTTTCTAAAAGTAAAATATAACAGGGAGTTTTACCCAAAGAAACAGACCTCTGTATTGTTGAAGAAAGTAAATATGATTCACAAAACCACATCCAAAATTAAAGTGAGGTTGTAGAGTTGCTTTACTCATCAAAATGAAGACTGTATTAAATTAGAGGTTGAACTTCCAAAGACATTAACCTGGACCACCAAAATGGAATATCTGGCTCCATTTACAACAGCTTTTTTAGAGGCACCAAGTGTGAAAGTAGTAGCTCTGGAAAAAGCAAAATGGCTTTGTTAATTCAGAACAGTTGTCTCTTTTACGCCAGTCTGTCCGTGCAATTACCCAATGTGCATACACATAGTGAATCCTCATAAATGTTCAGAAGAGATGCATCTTAGCTGATTTGAGCAGTGACAAATAGATGGTTTAAGCCACCATTTGCTAAATCACATGCTAAAGTTAGGTCAACTGAT